AGGCCGTGATGAAACTGCGTAATTGTCTGGATGTGGCCACCCCTTTTCCCTCCTCATCCTACTTCAGAAGACAACCTGGGAGACTAGAAGATGATGTTTTTATTTGCACCTTCTGGGTTAACCCCGGCCCAAACAACTTCTCTTATGTGACGGCAATCTGGCAAGACAAATTTCCTTTGGAATATTTCTAGCCAAACTACAGTCTTCCTCGATACGTTCTGCACACGAATCAACCTCTTTGTAATCCATGTTACCTTAAGAATTTTAGGAAATCTTGCTTATTGGCTCTCTGTGTGCCCTAGCCACTGCATTTCCAAGGTGAAGGTATAGGCTTGTGAGGGAGGTGGTGATGAACTTGGGGTATCTCCCTGGCTCACGCTTGGCTCATTGAAACAAAGTGGTGTGCTGCTCACTCCCTGGAGGGGAGCTTGCGGACTCCGCCTCCCTGTCCAGTGGTGACTACTCTCCGATTTCCTTCCAGGTTGGCTGGCTCCTCTGGCTGATGGCATGTTGAGGCACACGGGCCAGTGGCAACGAGGGCATCCGATCCAGAGGGGGCCACTCTAGAGGCCAGGTCACCAGCATCATGGGCCAGTGTGTCACCAAATGCAAGAATCCATCATCAACTCTGGGTAGCAAGAATGGAGACCGTGACCCCAGCAGCAAGTCACACAGCAGGCGGGGTGCAGGCCACCGTGAGGAACAGCTGCCAACCTGTGGCAAGCCAGGTGGGGATATCCTCGTCAACGGGACCAAGAAGGCAGAGGCTGCTACCGAGGCCTGCCAGCTGCCAACATCCTCGGGAGACGCTGGGAGAGAGCCCAAGTCGAATGCCGAAGAGTCTTCCTTGCAGAGGTTGGAGGAGCTGTTCAGGCGCTATAAGGACGAGCGGGAGGATGCAATTTTGGAGGAAGGCATGGAGCGCTTTTGCAATGACTTGTGTGTCGACCCCACGGAATTTCGAGTGCTGCTCTTGGCTTGGAAGTTCCAGGCTGCTACCATGTGCAAATTCACCAGGTTAGTCACAAATACTTCGTGTTACCAGGTGAGCAGAGGAGGAAGGAGAGCACCATTGGGTGGTGGTGCCTGGCTAGGGTAGAAGTGGGTTGGCTTCAAGGGTTTGGGGTGAGTCTTAATTTCTTTTTCTGACCACTTTCTCTAAAGCTGTTTAGCCGCTGAAAAACTGGGCACCCACCAGCCATCTTTGCCTGAAAGTTAAATGAGGAGTAATCCGTGTTACCAAGCTGCCACCCTGCCCCACTGCTGTTTCAGACTTTTGTCTCTTCCTTGAGTCCTTTGCTTGTCAGTTCACTCACTTCCTCACTCACTTGATACTTGCTGTACACCCGTCACGCGTCAGGCACCGTGAGTGCCGGTATGGTGAATGCCACTGGGGACGTGCCTCTGTGCCTGCGTGAGCCCAGGTGCCCCGTCTCGGTGTCCACACATTACCCTTGGCCAGCGTATGTGCCGGCAGGGCCAGCTGGCCCCGGTTGTCAGGCAGTAGTTGTGTACATTGTTATGGTCACGCGTCCCTGTGGAGGATGTGTTTGGGAGACAACATGGCAGGGTCACCCCCAGGTGTGGTTTGCAGACACTGGATTATAAGTAGGAAGAACTGACTTTGAGAACCCCTCAGTATAATGTCTAGCCCCGGGATAGGTTACCGGACACACCTCAGACGTTCTGTTTTAGCAGAACCAGCAGTCTCTGAGGAGGTGATCGACATTTTTATCACCAGAAGGAAACTCCATACTTATTAACAGTCACTCCCCACTTCTCCCTTCCCCCAGGCCCTGACAACCACTCAGCTACTTTTGATCTTTGTGGCTTAGCCTATTCTGGACAGTTGACGAAATGGAAGCATGCGACATGTGGTCTCTAGCGACTGGCTTCTTTCACTTGGCTTGTAAGCGTCATCCGTCTTGGAACATGTATCAGTACTTCCCTCTTTTTATGGTCAGTGCCCGTTAGACAGATACGCCACATTTGGTTTATCCATTTATCAGTTGATGAATATTTGAGTTGTTTTCACTTTTGCTATTATGCAGAACAATGCTGTGAACACTTGTGTACAAGTTCCCCCGACACACAATTTTTGTTTTTTAGCAACAGAACTTTGATCTCTGGTGGCAGTTACCCAGGTTCATCCAGAGTCTTTGGCTCCGAAAGCTTCCCTTGGCAGTCACCAAAAATATTCCAAAAGCAAACACCTTGTAGAGAATCAAATGGAAAACAGAAAGACTCCCTGTCTGGGAGGAGAGTCTGCGGCTTAATCACTGTCGCAGAATGGGAAACGGGCCACCGAGCAGGAGCCTTGAGCTGTGCTTTGGAAAGATGAATAGACGAACCATTGTCAGCCGCCTACCACGTGCCAGGCACCGTCAGAAGCAGTTGACGTGCTGACTTGCTTAGTCCTCACCAAAGCCCTGTGAAATAAGGTGGCACCCCCACCGTGTGACAGATGGAGAAATAGGCCTACCGTCAGCGGAGGGGCCGGAGTTCAAATCCAGGCCACCCAGCCTCGCGGCCGCGCTCTTAATTACAATTCTGTACTGCGTCTCGCTAAATGATAGCGTTTACAGTTACTAATTGTGCCCCCTCCTTCCTGTTGCAGGAAGGAGTTTTTTGATGGCTGCAAAGCAATAAGTGCAGACAGCATTGATGGGATCTGTGCCCGGTTCCCCAGCCTCTTAACAGAAGCCAAACAAGAGGATAAATTCAAGGATCTCTACAGGTTTACATTTCAGTTCGGCCTGGACTCTGAAGAAGGGCAGCGGTCACTGCATCGGGAAATAGCCATTGCCCTGTGGAAACTAGTCTTTACCCAGAACAGTCCTCCGGTATTGGACCAGTGGCTAAACTTCCTAACAGAGAACCCCTCGGGGATCAAAGGCATCTCCAGGGACACTTGGAACATGTTCCTTAACTTCACTCAGGTGATTGGCCCCGACCTCAGCAACTACAGCGAAGATGAGGCCTGGCCAAGTCTCTTTGACACCTTTGTGGAGTGGGAAATGGAACGAAGGAAAAGAGAAGGGGAAGGGAGAGGCGCACTCAGCTCAGGGCCCGAGGGCTTGTGTCCCGAGGAGCAGACTTAGTGGCTCTGTCTCAGGGGCAGCAGCGAGGACCTGCCCGCTGCCCTGCAGCCCACCGAGGAATCGGACCTTTCTGGAAATTACTGAAGATCGGATATTTTCTACTTTACACCTTTCTCTGCCTTGTATCTGAAAGGGCTCTAAAATGCTGTATCATGTTTTAGGCACTTTCTTCACTTTTTGGTTATTTTGGTTATTCCTTTTTTGGGGGGGTTCCCCCAAAATATTTGAACCTGGTTACATGTTGTTGTTTTTTTTTTTAAGTCCTTCAGATAGAATAAGCCTGCCATTTCTTGCACAAATTAAGTTTTTGGGGGGGTCGGGGAGGGTGTAGGGCAGGGAGGGGGAATGGGACAGTTAGGTTGAATTATCATTACAAAATGATACAGTGCCAGATCTCAGTTTTGCATATTCTTGTTTTTCAGGGCAGGTCTGTACTGTGTGTAGTGCTGTTTACATGGTTGAATTTAGGTTGTAATAATTATTTTTAAAGATTTACAGAGTTGAATAGCAGTGTTAACTGTTAACCACATTGCATTAATTCCCAGGCAATTTAAAGCTCTTGGAGAGCCAAGGCCAGCCAAGAGCATTTGTAGTCTAGTTATAACCTCTTTTTAAGCTAATTTATCTGAAACCCTTATTTCCCCCACTTCTTGCTCATTCCTCCTTTGACCTATTTCATTTCATGTTGAGTTTATCCATCAACATGCTGCACCTGTCAGTCAAGTGAGCAGTTTTTTCGATCACGTTGTACTGAGAAACCACTTAAAGCATTGAATGCAGAGAAAGCAGTGCTACCTCAGTTTTGCTGGAAGTAGACTTTGATAGTTTTCTTTGACGAAGTTTATGTATTTTCATGTTGTAAGTGGAAATACTTTTTTTTTTTTTCATTTGCCTTGGAGCCAAAGTTTCTGTTCCTGGTGGTCGGAAAACTGTGCCTGCCGGCCAACTGACTTGAAGGAAAACTGTGGTATGGAGCTCTGCTTGAATTCTTTTTTTTTAATTTTTTTGAGTATCATCAGCTTACTTGTCTGGCAAGTGCAGAAGCCTGAGGCTGGCCTGAACTCTGCCAAACAAATACAGAAGTGTATTTAATAGCTAAACGTGTGCCCTTTCCCTTCTTGCTGCACCCACGTTGTCACTTAAGCCCCAAAAGTTATTTATTATCTTCTTTGTAAATGTCAGGCTCATTTGGGGTAATGTGATGACTGTTTAGGTTTACACGGCCCTCTTCCCTTACCCCTAAATATGTGTGTATACATATATAAGATATGTATATATTTTACCTATATAAAATATATATATACACATATATGTATCTGGATTCCTTTGTTTCTCTACCTGCTAAAACTGGCTATAAAAGGGAGCTGCCTTCAATATATAAAGTATAAGAAGAATGCCAGGGAACATCATAGTGGAGGTTTTTCAGTCTGAATTTGGACCATTTTCACTAAAGAGGAGGTGAACTTTCTCAGCCCTTTCCTCCCAAGAGGGAGTCCCGTCCCCCCAGACTCCCACGTGCTCGCTCCCTGAGGCCAGCTTGGGCCAGGCTGCCACACAGGAGCTGACTGGTCCTACCTGGTTTCAGTAGAGGGTCCTCTTGTTATTTTTCCATTAAAAAAAAAATGTCCTCATAAAACTATACTGGCAGGGTGGGTGGCAGGAACTTGTACAGGTCAGCTTCCAACACTTTGGAACAGATTGAAAAGGGAATCTTTTAAATAAAAAACTTACAAAAATATTTATACTCTTGAGGTAATGAGAGTTTGTCTATTAAACATCTGGAGTTTTCCCCCCTGACTTCCCCCATCGCCTGCCCAGGTACATGTCTCTCAGCCTGGGCAGGAATTGCTTGTTTTGAGTCCCTTTATTTAGTAGCCTTACGGCTTCAGGCTCCCATCTTTACAAAGATGATTTAAGGAGTTTCTGCAGTTGATGTTTTCCTAAAATTGGCATTGACATAAAGAACGCACTTGAAGTTTGACTTTTTTTTTTTGAATCCCAGCCCTGACACTTGCCTCTTTAGAGGGGTGGATGGGAAACTTTAAAATCAGCCAGTGTGGATCAGTGATACTGCTGGAAAGGGGATGAGGGTCTCGGGCCAGATGTCTGGCCTTGTTCTAGCCTAAGACACAGGATCCTCGTATAAAGAATTTCTAGGGGTCCCAGCAGGGTCTGTGGGCTCAGCTATAGTCAGGGTGCCTAGACTGAGGTGTTCACAAGGCCGTCTTCTCATCCAGCCAGTCTGCAGCCCCCAGTTTTTCCCACTACTGGAAGGGTAAAGGTAGGCTGCTCCTAGCCAGGTATGGAGAAAAGGGTACAAAAGAGGTAAACATTGAGTGTCTTGAGGACTCTGGAGGACCTGGAGTCCTTCCCCAGCCTGTAAGAGGGCGATCCACGCATTAAGTGTGCTGTAATTGGTGGATTGTTTTTAAAAAAATTCAACTATTCAGCTTCCCCAACCCCATGAAAGAGCCATTTAAAAAATTACTTTTGGTTATATTTTTAATGTTTGTTACAAAAGTGCAGATGAGAAGCCAGAAAAGGAATGGTCAGGGAAGGACTTACTTTCGCTTCCAGGTTTGAGCCCTTGAGGCAAGGAATTCAAGCTTTTGCAGTCACCTGGGCCAGTGCCTGACTTTCTCATGACCGTAGGAAAAGCGGTTTTTCTGCAGAGAGGTCCAAGGTGGGGGTGTGTAGGATTTGGAGATACACTTCTGGGAAATGGAAGGTCCCTGTTCCTCTTCTCCTAGGCATAGCTTTGTTGCTTAATGAGTGAGCAGTAATTGTGTGGGAGAGGCCAAATGCCTGCCTCTCAGGTAAGCCAGTGCACCCTTCACTTTAACAACGTGACACCAGGGTGGTGTGGTGGTGTGGAGAGGGGCAGGATGTGGATGTCATTTTAAAAATAGGCAAATAGCTGAGAGTGACTAAAACAATGTTGGGAAATTGCTTGGATTTTGGCAAATGGCTTCGTGTGTGAGCTTCTGTGTTTCTTTAGCGATTAGAAAGCTATATGAGATGAGGTGTGCTCCACCGGATTGCTCTTCCCCAACCCCTGCCAAATTTGAATGTATTGTTCTTAACCCCGCCTCCTATAATGACATTTTGCTGTGTGTCAGCCGGTTGCCTCAGGAGTTCTCCCTGCCAGATGTGCCCACATGTATGGGCTGGGTCCAAGATGCCATTTCTACCCTTCTGATAAGAAAAATCTAGAGCCAGGTCAAGATCCAAATTTTAACCAAGCCTCCAGGCCCAAGGAAATCAACTGAAAATGTACCAGGCAGTGTTTTCAAAATTAAACTTCCCTAAGGAAAAGTGCAAACTAGCCTTCTTGGAAAGAAGATAGCCACACAGTATTAGCTGGTCTTTGAAACTGTATCTCCCAGGGACTGGTGCCAAAATGCAGTCCTGAGTGCAGGAGCCCGCCAGGCGTGGGGCTCCAGAGTTCTTGTGATGGCCTTGTATATACTATGCTGTACTGTGCCAGACTGTATAAGCAGTGGTGGGAAATTCCTGGGCTAAGGACCTGGTAGAAAAGTTTAAAAACCAAAACAGAAGATCTGTATTTAGGACTATGTTCGGTTTGCCGCATTTTAAGTCAAGTCTTCACTGCAGTGAAACCCAAAGGTAGACCCAGTTACACAATTACAAGGTGAGGGCTGGAAGGAAGCTGCTGCTAGGTTTGTTTTCTTATAATTGCCTGTTCTGTCATTTTTCTTTTGTCTCATGCTTAGTGACCACCTGAACATCTTGGTAACTGACAAAGGTCTTCCTTGGGGGACTCCAGCAGTATCTTGTTTAAATGAGATGGACTGAAAGCACTGTTCAGTCAGTAAATGTTAATTGGGGGTCATTTGAAAACATGTGATGTTGCCCTTCCTCTTACTCTAGTTTTCTGAATCAGAGGGAGTTCCCACCCACTCCCCCTTTAGAGTTTATTCCTTTGCTAAGCAGTAATTATATAGCATATATCCAGTTTAACCTCGACTCAGGATCTGCAGATGTGTTTCCTCATTGAAAGACAAAATTGATGCTTGAGTTCTGGTTGCAGAAGCAAGGTTGGTTCAGATGGCTGAGTACCCACCAGATTCTGCTTCTGATTCAGGTGCTGGGGCATCACACCCTCCCTGTTCTGCTTGGAAACAGCCTGCTCTTCGACCACCCACCTTTCCTCCCTACTACTTTCAACACAAATCTTGGATGTTACCAAAGGAAGCCATTCAACAGCTGCTGTGGTTCCCCCCACCAACACGTTTATTCTGGGAGAAATGTCTTCCCTCTGACCCTGGTTCCCAGCCTCCTGAGTCTGTGACTAGTTGCTCTTAACCTGTTGCACTAATGAATATGATTCTAAGTTTCAAAGGGGGAATTTGAAGCAATAGGCAAATGGGGCTTGGATAAGTTGGTCCTATAGGTACCCTGCCTTAACCCGCTGAGGTGATGAGTCCACTACTCATACGACCTTCCACCTTTGTGATTTCTCTTAGTTTGTGACCAGTGTGTCTGTTTCTTGAAGTTGTACAAACTTGACAAGTTAATACTTTGATTTGTATTCTGTGCACTGTTGCACTCTCCAGGTGGCCCCTTCAATATTTTATTTAACTTGTTACATTTTTGTCTGTCTACATTTTTTTTTATTTGGAAGGTAACCTGCTGTTGGATTTAATAAATTTGTTTACTTGACTACTGACAATTCTGCAAAAAACAAAAACAAAATAGTGACTTCCTGCTGGGGTGAGATTTACCCACTGGGAGCCTCTTCCAACATATAGGATGGCAAATCCTATGCTTTAGAAAATTATCCAGATAGTACAGGATCCCCAGACTACAAACATGTATGCTAACCTCCCACTTCCCATCACCAAGTTTAATCGCCTTCAGAGTCCCAATATTTGTAGGCAAAAAGCGAATGAGCTTCACAGGGCCACTACCTAAACAGTCTTACCGTGGCAACTGACGTGGGAATCCCAAGAGGAATAAAAAGTGAATTAGAACACTGTGCTAAATGGATGGCTCCTGAAGGCTGGCAGTGATTAAGGCAAAGGAGATAAGCTGAAACTGTCAAGGGCCACTGCTCTGTGATCTTTGGCAAGTTAGTGAAATTGATCTGTAAAATCAAGAGACTTACTTCTATCAGTGTTAGGACTTAAAACAACATCTATAATTTTTAAAACACCTGAGACATAAGTTTAAGGTTTCCAAAAGGATGTTGGTGAGTAATGAAAGGAATCCAGGGTTAGGAGGGGGGTTGGCATGGTCAGACATGACCTCTCCCAAGTCACTGCCCCTCTTGGGGGCTCAACTTCCCTCAGTGCCAAATTAGGGGAATTGGGGGCCTTAGACTAACATGACCTCTGATGGCTCCATCTGGCTTTCATATTCTAGAAGTCTGACTGTGGTCGACCACTTATGACCCTTAGCTTCCTTTCATTGTATTTTCTGTCTAGTTATTACTCGTACTCAGGAAAGCTATTGGCTAGCCATCTTACTCACTTTAATGGAGGCCCTGATGGCCTTCCCAGGAATTGCCAGCCTCATGTTGGTATCTCCTAAAAATACCAAGTACAGTGGTGGCATTAGATATGCTTTTATTTTTCTCAACAGTTGGAAAGGACTTAGGAGTAACGACCACATCCTCTTGCTAGCCAGGAGAGGGTTATATGGTGTCCTCAATGACCTGGAATTTTCTCTTTTCTCTTCCTCCTTTATTACCAAGGCCAGCATCAGACAGAGGCTAGAAGGGAAGCGAGGGGTGACTTTTTCTCACTTAAAAAGTCTACCTCTAAAGCACATGCTTATTTTTCCAACTGGCTCTTGGGCTTATGTCTTCTTTGGCTCTTCTGAGTTATTTAGCCCAGCCAGGGCCTTAACAAATAGAAGTGTGGGGAATAATAAAGAGGAGATTATCCATTTGGGTGCTTGTATAGGGCATGGAGCTTTTCAAAGTGTTGTCATGGTGCTGTATGGCTAACATCCAATTTCTGATCAGGTAAGGGATAAGCGACTAACACACAATTACCAAGTAAGTGTACCTGTATGTGGAGTGGACTTTTTCTAGCAAGAATGGTATCCTGAAGGTAGTACTGACGGTCCAGAGTCACCTCAGCACTGGCCTCTTCCCTCCTCTCAAGCCCAGCTGCTGGTGCACACGGCTGGGTTCGCTTTGGAAGCCATTCTCTAGCTCTGGATTGTGATTTTGATCAGGGTCCAGAAGCGAAGTTAAGTTGCCTGGGAAGTTAAGGCAAGTGAGCCAGCCTTAACCCCGCCACTTTCCTTCCTTTGCTATGACTTGTTAGGATGCCCTGTCTTCTGAAAGCCCTAAGACTCCTACCTGGGTTTACCATTCTTCCTCTGTAACTTTCCAGCCCTGGTACTCTTCTTACCTTAGGGGTGCTGAGAAAGCCTGAGTGGAACATGGCAGCAGTGCAGCCGGCAGCAGAGCATCGGACTCTGTATAGCGTTCTGTAATCCATGCTGATGAAGACTCTGTGGGCTCAGTGTTTATCTGGGGTGGTGCTGCTCAAATTGCTGGTTTATTACAATATAGAGCTACAAAATAATATGGTACTAGTGTAAGACAAAACAGAAGAACACTGAGACACAGGCTCTTGTACACACTGGCTTACACAATAAATGATGCAGCCTCCTTTATTGGGTAGTAAAGGTACAATTGGGTAAAATATAAATATTTGGGGGAAAGCTATCATGTGCCAAAGTAAATTTCAGGAGGAACAAAGGCATAAGTATAAAAATTAAATCACATATATATGTAATGTATATAATATATAAATAACATATATATAATCAATGGATATTGATCTCTGAATCAGTCAAGACTTTCTAAGCATAAAAGCAAACAGAAATCATGAAAGACAAGAACAGACTAAAACTTACCTTAAAAAATTAAACACATTTTTGCAATAATTGACAAATGGACACTATAATTCATTAGGAGACCTTAAAAATTCAGTGTGGAAAAATAACAGAAACATGGGCAAAAGATATGGACAACTCATTAAAGAAAAACAACTGGTCAAAAATCTTCTGGAAAAAATGTCAATCTAAAAGGTATTCAAATTAAACGTATAATGAAGAACTTTTTTAACCTATCAAATTGACCAAGATTTGAAACAAATTGATGCTAGCAAACACAAGGTAAAAACTTTCCTGGAATTAAAAAAACTTAAAGTGTTCATATTCTTTAGCCTACTAACTTCACTTCTAGAAAATTTTCCTCAAGAAATATTATCTTTCAAAGATGTGCAAGGATTATGATTTAGCAGTATCATTTGGGAACAAATTCAGTGTCAGCAACAGGGGACTGTTTTAGAAATCATGGCATACATCAACATGTTGGAATATTAATGCGGCTATTAAGAACTGCTTTTGAATAATGGAAAAAGTATGACAGAAGATTGTAAAGTAGTGGTTGTCATTGCCTCTGAGTAGTGGGATTAGATGTGATTGTCACTCTTCTGGATTTTAAGTTGCCATTAATGGGTTTCCTTTGTAATAGGGAAGAGACTACAAAAGGGGGGACAAAAGGAAATGAAAACAAACATGGCCGAGTGTCCCAAACAACCCCACTATGAGCGAGGCGGCCAGAAAGTTAGGTAGTAGTATATTGAAAGCCTATACCAAGTTTTCTGTGAAAAACCTTTGAGTTGCTCTTTTCTCCCAAATGAGAAGCTGCTTCAGCAGCTGCCTTGGCAGCTTTGCATTGGCTGCCTAGAAGGGTGTGGGAGGAAAAATGCACAAACGCACTTATGAATGGAATGTGTGTTTTGCAAGAGGCCAAGTTGGCAGCCTTGGCTTCCAAAAGGTGGGAGCATCAGCTGAAAGAACAGTGTGTGCAGACTGAGGCCTCAGAGGCCTTTTGTTCCAGGCCCATCTCTGCAGAGTTCTGGAGTTGGGGGCCCATGGGGAAACTTCCAGCCCCACCTATCCAGGAAAAGGAATGGCCTAGGCTGTTCCCTAGGAGCAAGCAGAGTGCACTTGGCACAGGGAGCCTTCATCTGCTCTGTGATCCTGCAGCTGAAAGATGATCCTCAGTAAAATGTAGGCTTTCCCTAATTTAATTCTCATGATAACCTTATGAAGTAGTTGCTAGCGTCACCATTTAAAAAATGAGGCTCACAGAGGGAAACAGTGGGCTCAGACACAGCCCACTATTGGTCATTTTCCACAAACTGAATATCTGAATATTCTTAATAATCCTTAAAAGTAGATACATCTTCATTTTTGAGGCCACGGAAATGGACTCAAACAAGGTGACTTGCCCAGGAGCAGAGCTGTAGCGCCAACCTAGGCAAACACTTGTTTTGTGTCTCAGGACTGGACTCTCAAGAGGTAAAACAGCAGCTGAGCTCCCACAGCTCTGAAGCTCAGCTGCAAGAGGAAAGAATTCAGCAACAGGCAGTTTCAAGATGTTCTCAGAGCCTTGCAGCAAAGGGCAGCAGTATACCTGGGGAACTTTGCTCTTTACAAGGGAACTTCAAAAGTTGCAGTATCTCAATTCAATATCAAGCTCTTCAGTTCTGGCTCCTGGTTCCCAACTTCCATAAGGCCAGATCTTATAGCAGTTACATTTAAAGGATTAAACACTGCCTCAAAGGTGCAACCTTGAGAGTTAATTTTAAGTAGAATTATTATTTTCTACTTATAAAACCAGTATTTTTTTAAAAATAAGCCTACATATAGAAAAGCATTCGGTAAAATCGAATTTGCTGATCCCACTAGTCAGAAATAAACACTTCGTATTTTGGCATACAGCCCACCAGGTTTTGTTCCAAGCCTATGCATATCTTTGTATAATTTTTTCTATAAAAATGGACTCAAGCTATACAGAAGACTATTCTGTAACTGTCTACGCCTATAACCTATAAAATGCTATGAATGCATCATGTCTCCACAACAACCCTATAGGATAGGTACCATTATTATGTACCAAGTAGAGAGATGTCAAATTTATTCATGTTCACACAACTGAAAAGCAGGAAAGCTGGGATTCAGTCAGGCAGTCTGGTCCAGAGGGCTACTGCTACTTCTTACAGATCTCTCTCACTAGAGGTTTTATTTACACACATGTGTGCACACATACACACAATTTTTAAAAATAGTCACCCAGAATTCCATTTTAACCCTACGATATCCCTCCGTATGTGTTATTGATAAACTGTCCTATTACTGGAGGATACTCGAGTGGAACTGCAGGCTCCCAGTGGAGGCATCAATTTACAAGGTTCTTTGGAATGATACATACTGCATGTCATGTTAGTTCATCTTTCCTGGAGGGCTAAAGTCAGTTTGGGAACTGTGTGTGTCTGTACCCATGTCCTGTCTCCAACACAGAATGTTGACAGTTTGAGAGCTGATAAAAAAAGAGAGGGTTTCACTGAAAACTGAAGCTTCCAGTTCTAGCGGGGAGCTCTGGTGTGATGGAGGCACCTACTGGTGAAGGGTAACACTGCAGTCTCACCCTGAAAGGAAGCGTTCCTAAACACTGAATTTTTAAAGGGGACTTCCAGTGCTGGTTAACAGCTAGAAGTCTTCAACTTTCCTCTGTGCGGTGGATCTGGCAGATCTTCAGCCAGCCTCTTTTTCCTTCAATTTTATAATAGCCATCAATGAAAAAATAGTTTGCCTTACAGAAATTTGCTTCACAAGAGTTACAATTTTGACAGACTATATAATGGCTGTGTTTTCTCTACAGAAGTCACTGCTCCTGGTTTCCTTACCTATAATATTCCATTTAATAGGAATGCTACATGAAATGAGCACCTGCTACAGTACCTGTATATAAACCCAGTGACACAAAGAAAGTACAAACTGGTTTCCCCGCTTCACCCTGTCTCAAGATGAAGAATGCTTGAATTTTAGGCATTTATTGAAAATTTGTACGTGCCATATAAATAGATTAGATTCCGTTAACTGGTACAACATTTCCACAAAAGCTGTCTGCTACACAGAGAGGCCTGGCAGCCTCCAGAGTGCCTGCAGCCTGATCACATTCTCTGCCACGGCCCTCGAGCGGTAAGAATGGCACATGGGAAGTGGTGGGCAGACTCACGAGCACATGTTTGGGGTGGTGTTTTCCTCTTCGTCTTTTATTCCCATCAGCCCTAGGCCAGAGAGCGATCCATGAGTGCTGCAACAGATGAGGAATGATCATAGTTTTTGTCTACAGAAGTGAATGAATGGTCATAAACTCAGGTAGAGAAGTTTTTTGTTTTTGGGTGGGGGGCATGTGTATGTGCTATGGAGCAGGGGTCAGGCAGGTCGACAGCTTACTTATGGAAAGCTACCTGCTGAAAATGGTTCAATGGAAAGAATACTGACTAGTCCCAGATGCCTAGAATCAAATCATAGCTCTGCCACTTAACAGATGTGAGGTGTATTTCAACTAAGGATGAATGATCTCAAACTGATCCTCAGTTTCAACTATAAAACTATTAAATATTTAAATTATTATCTCACAGGGCTTTTGTGAGGAGTACATACAGTAATAGCTAACATATTAACATATATGGAGGACTTACTGCATGTAAGCACTTCATATGTGTTCTCATTTAATTCTCCAAACAGTTCATGTACCTTATGTAGGTACTGATGTAGATATGATTGTTATGTATACTTTTCAAATTAAGAAACAGGCTCACAGGCATTGTTTAACTTACTCAAGTCACACAACCAGTAAGTGACAAAACCAGGTAAGAATGGCAGTCATCAAAATCCTTTTAAATTGCTGTTAGAATTGATTTTTTCTTCATTTTACGTAAAACACTTTTGTAACACCTATCACGCGCCAGGCACTGTTTAAAACTTTGCAAAACGTCAACTTATTTAATAATGTATGCTGTAAAACACCTAGCACAGTGCTTAGAATTTAGGAGCCATCCAGTACGTATTAGTTCCCTGCCACTTGAAGTGAATGTTCATGGAACTGGGTTAGAGGGCTGAGGTGCTCTCCAAGGCAAGACAGGCAGAAATGAGCAAAGACAAACACAGAAGCTGCCTCTACCTGATGTCTGAACTTCAGCTAATAAGTCATAGGTCTTTTGGGTATGGACAAGTGGAGCTTTGAGTACTGGACAGTAGCTCTGGAATTAAAGATTGGAGCTCTGATCCAGGCTCCAAGGCCTAGAGTATTCATGTTTTGCCACCTGGGACCTTGGGCCTGGGAAGAATCCTGGAAAGTCAGAATTTTAAGGGGCTTTTTAGAAATAATACAACCCAGTGATTTTTAAACTGTCCTTTTTTCAAAAAAGCCATGTCTCTTTCCCTCCTCCTCCCATATACACATTCATTCATCTATCTACTCACTCATTTCAGAATGGCTCACCTTTACGCTTTAGGATTTAACATCAATTTTTCTTTTAAAGTATGGGTTTTATAATTTAAAGGGTTTGAGAATTACTGATTTACTCCAAATCCCTCATTTTACCAAAGGGAAACTGAGGTCCACAGTGAGAAAAGTGGCTTGGCCACTTGTCAGAGGAGATAGGTGATAGAGCTGGGACTAGACCCAGAGTCCTGCTCCAGTTTTCCTCAGGCTTAGAATCAGCAAAACAGGCTTTAGCTCTTAAAAGTTAACAGAGGTGGCGGGGGGAAAGGGCAGGAAAGGCAGGAACACACTCCTCATATATGGGAAGGCCTTGGTCACAACTGAGCTGAGCCTTGCCTTAGAACTTCTTGACCATTGTGACTCAAGTGCCTCTTGTTCCAGAGAGGTTGCAGGTTTAAAGGCCTCTGCCTTTAAAATGGGATGAGCTGTCCCCTTGAGGGACCACTAAGTATAGTTATAAAAGAGCACATACATGTAAAACAGGAATACAGTATCTATCTTTCAGAACTGTGAGAACTAAGAGATGATTCATTTCAGTCCTCATTTATGTGCCTGGATGTTAACAAAAGGCCTTTCTCCAAGAAAAGCTTATGTCCAGAAGTCAGAATCAAGAGACAACCAGTTTGGTCCTTACCTCTTGGTTCCTGGCAGCAGGATGAGGCAAAGGGCGCCTGAGCCCAGGCTGTGGTAGAGCTTCCCTATTTTCCGGCTCCAGCGCCAGGCTGCTATCTTTGGGTGGTCCACCTTCAGCATCTAGGATCAAAGCCAGGTGCTGACGACGCTCAGTCAGAGTACCCTCTGTTCACCTGTGGAGGAACTGCAACATTCCTCCTCAGGCTCCCAGGAGAGGCTCTGCAAAAGTTCTGTCTGAAACTGAAGCCCCTACTGCAGGGCTCCCTGTCCACCCCAGCATCCCTAGGCCTCCCAGTCAGTTTAGGAGGACAGCTGCTGTCCCTTCCTCCCAATGGATCTTCCAGGGCCCCAAGCAAAGGGAAGCAAGTCACTAAGGAGAGCTCTAGTCTAGACTCTTGCCTCGGCAAGGCGCTCACCAGCCCTGCTCTCTGTCATCTGCTAAGTGTGGGAGATTAGAATAGGGCAGGGTTTCCCAAACTTAAGCCATTCACCTTCTAGGTTTACACTTCTGGTTCTGCTGTGTATCCCTCTAATGATTTTCTTTAAAGTGAGTCAATTTCTTCCTTAGCTTCATCTAAGTAATACTACTATCCATGAAATCACAGGCTCAATGTCGTGGTTGTATACTTTAATGAATAGTAGAAAACAAGTTCATAGCTATAAAAGTGGGGGAAAAAAGTTCATCTATGACCACCAAAAATCATCTTGTGTATGTACCACACTTCACAAAACCTCAGGTCACTTAAGACTTTTCCAGCTCTCCAACTTCTACGTTAGCCCCTCAAAGTCCCTTGGAGAGCCACCTGGAGGACTAAAAACCTGATTTTAGCAAGAATAGAGGGGGCAAAAGTAGGAGAGATCTTGGAGAAGGTGTGTCCAGGGCTGGAAGAAGCTGGAATGTGAAGTAGGACTAGTGCTGGGGCAGGAAAAAAAAGACTGAAGACCTGAGTAGGACTCTGCTATTTCCATAATCAGAAGGCCAATCCCTACAGCCTGCAAACCAAGTTAGCTACCTTTCTCCTCTAACTTCAGGATACATCCGTTCACTCACTCACCTGCAATGCTTCCTTCTCCGAGGGGGGAGGTATGACACGAAGCCCTGGGGGCCTTCTTGATTCAGGAGGTAATCCCCTGAGCCATGCATGGAGGTGCCTAGTGGTTAGGGCATGCCTGCCTTTCAGCTTCCAGTCCTTGCCTTTGAGAATGTCAAGGGCCCTTTGGGCACTGCCAAAAGTTTTGAATTCTGAAAGCAAGAATACCCACTTCTGTTATTAAGGGTCAAAAAAGCTGATCACCACCCAAACTGAAGCCCAGCCAAAGAAGAAGGACAGAATCAGGAGATGCTGACCTGGTTTAGCCCAGGAGGGTTTATTTGGTGAAAATTTCCTTTCTCTGACCTCATGTTATTACCATCCCTAATCTCCTTCCCCAAGGCTATAATTGGTGGCTTGGACTTACTCAAGAAACAGTAATTTTTCTGCTTTCCAGTTTTAAGATCTTTAGGCAAGATCACAGCTTCTAGTCCCAGGAAGAGGTTACACTGCTGCAACAGCCGTTCTTTGAAGGTTTCGCTTACTCCAGACAAGTATATTGTACCTCGGTTCTCAGAATCTTGTTCCAGCTCATTTACAAGCACATCACAGTCAAGGGTGAGCTCCGTCACAGGCCTCTGCACCTAACCAAAGAAACATGGCATTAGTGGTATAAAAGTCATCATTTCAACCCCCAGGACTATTATATACTAGCAAGTAATTTAATTCTGTAGTTTCCTCATCTGTGTAAGGAGGCTAATGATAACTGGCCAACAGGACTATGGTAGAGACTTAAGTAAGATAAATAAATACAAAACATAAATATTTTTGTGTAAATACTCTCTTCCCAACCACCCGCAGTGGTAATCAGCTCTTTGCCATCGATGGCAATGAAATTCTGTTTAACTGCATAAGAGACTTCAAAATACCTTTTGATTTCCGCTGAAAGGTAAAGTGAAGGGCAACCACAGAAGACCACCCAGAATAAACCATAAGTACTGATAAAGAGTACAGGAAGAACCCAATGTAGTTCAGGCTGATTTGGACAAAAAGAAAGCTGTCTTGTCTTAGGTCACCACTAGAAGAATGCCAGGCTTGGCTTAAGACTTTCCATAATAGAAAGTCTTGTGCCTGAGCCTCTCAAGGACACTTGTCTAAGATGTTATGCCTCGGGGCACTGTAAACACAGGCCTGAGTAAATACAGGCACTGAAAACAGAGGGCTGAGTAAAGAGTGCTCCTTTATGCTTTCTCTGGCCACCCTACCTTGACGCAGGTACCTTCTACTAGAATGCCATCCAAAGACTCTATGGCCAGCTGGGCAGCTTCCAGGACTTCGTACTGTATACAGAGATGTGGCTGCAGAAAAACCAAGGTTTCCTTACTTTTGCTTTCCAGGTTCGAACTGCTAGAGAAGGGTTGGGAATGGGGCCCAACTAAACTACAGAGGCCAAAGCCACCAGAATGGATGTCCTTGCTATACTGGGCTAGACACTGACTGCAGATCATCAATTTTAAATGGAAACACCCTGGTTCAGGAACTGGTTTTTCAAATACACAACCTTTATTTGTCACTTAAAATTGAAGCCTTCTCTCCCTGGGTGGTATGGGGAAAGCACTAACAAATTCCTGACTACCCAACTTGCTTTTCGTACTATTTATTATGAATCACTAAACATCACTGCAAAGCATAGGTAGAGATTCCCATTTGTCCTGTTAGCTTAAATTTAGATAGCAGCTTTCCTACAAGCCTGTAGAGGTTCTTACATTCTTCTATTAGATTTACATCTTCAAACTGACTACTCTTCTACTTGATTAACACAGGGTAGCTAAATCTTTGTGATGGCCTTAGCCATAGCATCATCACAGAAATTAAAGTGCTCCCATAGAAAAGCTTCATTTTGCTGGACTCAGCAATATGAATGACATCAAGGGCACAGACCACAAAAGAAAATAAGATAAGCTGGACTTTATCAAAATTTAAAAGTGCATCAAAGAACTATCAATGATGTCAAAAGGCGGCAGAAAGAATGGTAGAAAATATTTGCAAATCATGTATCTAACAAAGGATTAATATCTAAAATATATAGAGAACTCCTAAAACTCAACAAGAACAAAAATCAAATAACCTAAGTAAAAAACAGGCAAAGGACTTGAACAGACACTTCTCTAAAGAAGATACACAAATGGCCAATTAGCACACGAAGAGATGCTCAACATCGCTAATCGTTAGGGAGATGCAAGTCAAAATCAACAGATACCACTTCACATCCATTAGGGAGGCTATTATCAAAACAAAAACACTCCCCTCCCCCCACTCAAAACCAAGTGTCAACTGGAATGCAGAGAAATTGGAACCTTGGTATTGCAAGTGACAATATAAAATGGTGTAGCCACTGGAGAAAACAGTATCGTAGTTCCTCAAAAAATTAGATACAGAATTATCATTTAACTCAGCAATTCTACTTTCATGTATATGCTGCAAAAACTGAAAACAGACTCAAACAGGTATTTGTATATCCATGTTCATTTCATAGCAGCATTATTCAGGATGGCTAAAAGGTGGAAACAATCCAAATATTCATGAAATGGAAGGAAGAGAAGGGGGGAGGGGGAGAAGGAGGATGGGGAAGGGGAAAAGGAAGGGAAGAAACAAAAAGGCAAGACAAGACAAGACTTACAGGAGGAAGTTACAGTCCCCTGACATACCCTTCCCATGCTTCAGTCTACCTTCCCAGGAATGATCTTTTTATTTCTATTTTTAGGTGTAAGAAAGGCATTAATAAAAGATTTGGGGAAAGCACATTTTAAACATTGAGGATTCTGCACTTAGATCACTTTGGAGACTTGAATTTTTCCTTCACTTTAATAGTTATTAGTTATGTTAAATAGCTATACATAATAGATTAATGCACCAGATAAATAGTTGCCTATGTCAAAATTCTAAAGGTACAAAAAATTTAGTGAAAAATCTTCCCCTAACCTCTGTTCCCAGTCACCTAGTTCTTCTCTCCCTGTAGGCCTTCATTGTTACCAGTTATTGTATATCATTCTACAGACATTTTAAGTTTTTGTTTTCAATTCTTTTCATGGTTTCCTGTCTCTGTGTAATGTGTTTAGAATGCTGTTATTGCTTCATGTAATAACTTTAGACTTTTCCTACTGACTTCCTGCTATGACCATGAAGATAGAAGCTTACTCATTACATCCTTTTAAAATGGCAGGAATTTTTTAAACCATATGCAAGTATTTTTTCTTGAAAAGTAAAAATAATTAAACTCTTTATAGGGTTTTTATGTAAATAACTAATAAACAGACTAACTCCATAAGACTAGAGAACTAACAACAAAAAACGTCCTGTTCCTTCTTATTTTAACCCAGCTATGAGCCTACTTTGGATTTAAGCCCTACAGAGACTTCCCAACAAATGGAACCTACCGCTCTTTCAAAAAGGCATTTTTTATCATTTAAAGCTGAGGTCATAAGCAGGAAGCCCACTTTGTCTGGCCTACATGATATTTAAGAAAATTTGAACCAACAGTATGAATTTGGCAGATTTCTCAATTCTCAAAACAAAACAAACAAAAACCCCCAGAAGACCTGGCAATACTGGGCACAAATTCTTTTAAGTGAACACTGCTCCCATGGGACAGAGCATGTCTCACTGCAGTTGGTGACAATCAAGCTCACGTCACTAATATCTGTTATCTGAATGGCCCTAGAAGGCATCTGAATTTCCTGCATTAATCTACAAGGTCAAAATCTGAGTTTTCTGTCTCATTACCTGATGGGTTTCAAGAACAAGAGTCATTGACCGGATTGGGCCAAAACTCTTAAACAGCCTCTTTAGAGCTGTAAGGTTACAATTTTTGCTAAATGGTCCAGCAAAGACAGTTGACATCTCTGTCCACTTGATCTTCATCTATAAGAAAAACAACAGAATATTGTTAGGAGGTGCTGATCTGAAGAAATCATGAGTCAAAACATGGGATAACTCCTTTCAAGGAATTTCTCAACACAAACACTCACCAAATGTACAAGGATTTGTACACAGGGATTTCACTGAATCATTACTTGGAATAGCAAAAATTCCGAAGTGCAAATGTGGAAAATAGGTATAATCATACAATGGAAAACTATGCAGCCATTAAAAATAAGGAAAATCAGATTATACAGTGCTATGAAAAACTGTACAAGATAAATTAGAAAATGTTAAGGTTAAAGAAAAATAAAGCTGCAAAACAGTACATATAGTCTGATTCCCATTTAATAATGTGTTTCCTAAAATGGAAATATACACATAGGAAAAATATAGAGAAACACACAGTAAACTTAATACAGTACAGATTACTTTCCTTAATGAGGGGAGATTATAATAAGCCATTAAATAAATCATCTAGCAGAACCCATTCACTTACCCTTTTGTTCATCTCCTCAGTGAGGTTGGGTGGAAAGGGTTCAAAAGAGAATTGCACGATGCTGAAGGGAAACAGGGGGATTTCCACTCTGGCCTGCTCAAAAACCTACAGAGAGAACAGTACAGCCTGAATGAAGCAGGAACCCAGTAGTCTACTGTGGCTCTTGGAGTTGAACCACAATTAAAAAAAACACATTGGTTGTCTTTTTACCCATTTTAAAAAGCATTATGAGACTGACTTCAAGGTCTAGAAGAAAAGGTCTGGTGACACTACACAGTCTTGTAGGAAGTAAAGGGAATAAAATTACATGCACCCAGATCTTTAGCATTACTGAGAAACAGAAACTACTACAAACTTCAAATTACCTCTAAGTAAAGAAATAAGTTAAATTCCAATAGAAATTCCACCATCCCATATTGCTACAAGCCTGTGAGTAGAGAGGAAGGAGAGGAGGCACAAGAAACTCTGGGAGGGAAAAAAAAAAATCAAGGGGATGGAAGACTTGGATGAAGCATAAACAAAGTCACTCCCAGAAAGAAAGTACCACTAAATGCCAAAATAATGAACACAGGTCACAACTTGGATAGCTCACAGCACTTGACTACAAGGAAGAGGCTTGGCAGCCTCAGAGAAGCAGCACTTCTGGGGAAAAATCGGGTATACAGAAAAGAGGCAATACCCTGTTGGAGACACAGTAGTTAAGTAAAAGAAAGAAATAGGGAAATTAAGAATCCTGCAGAAAGATAAATAAAACAAATGCCAATCCCTCCCAAGAGCATTATAAGCTTCTTATTCTTCCCAGCACCGTAACATCTTTCTCAAAAAAAAAAAAAAAAAAAAAAAAAAAAACCCCAACACTTTAAAAAAAAGAAAAAAGAGAGCATGACCTCAGCAAGATGGAGTACAAGGGAGCTCTAGGCCCTCATTCTTCCAGATACTGCGATGACACTATAAAGACCAGAATACCTTTGCAAGAACTCTAGAGACCAATTGAGAAACTATAGCACTCAGAACCACCACCACCACCAACAACAACAAAATAAGAAGGGATTCCAGCAAGAGAGAAAGGAAAATATGCAGAGTTTTGTGTCCCTCCCTTATCTGACCTAGCAGGGCTCAACATGGAGGAGACATCCCACACTGGGGATCCTCCCCCTAAACAGAAGCAAAAGAGCGGACCATGTATCCAATGTCATGGCTAGTCTGTGGGCTGCCTGAAGGGACTAGTGTCTGTCTTGCCTGACTCAGAGCACTGATAGGACTGGCAGCCTTGTTTCGGAGCCACTGAAAACAGATGCAATCACAACACATTAGAGCTGCAGTTCCAAAGCAAGTGTTAGGAGAAGCAACAGAGTACAAGCTCTGAGAACAAACAGGGACAAACTGCTCAGGGAATATGAGACAACGAAAAGGACATACACAAGTTTAGAGAAGACACATTCTCAAAATAGGTTTGAGAGGTCCTAGAACCTTGGGTGGGGCTGATCATGAAAGTCTTCCCTTCCACAATGCCAGACCCTAACAATGGGAGAGGTAGTTGGCTTTTTTGTTTTCTTTTCCCATTTTATTAGATCCCTACCAAAAAAAAAATCATATGACATATAAAGAAAACAGGGGAAAATGACTCAATCAGAGGAAGAGAATAAAGCTCCAGAAACCACACCTAAAGAAACACAGAATGAGCTAAAAGAGAACAAAGATAAACAACTAATGAAATCAGGAAATTGATGCATGACATAAATGAAAATCTCAACTAAAGAGACAGCAACTATTAAAAAACAAATTCTGGAGCTGAAAAATATAGTAAGTGAATTGAAAAACTCACTCAAGGGGTTCAATATAGGACTTGACCAGGCAAACTTGAAAACAGATCTTTGAAATCATCAAGTGAGAGAAAAGAAAAAAGAATGAAGAAAAGCAAGTAGAGTCTAAGAGGTTTATGGGACACCATCTTGAGGATCAATGGTTTCAGATTAAAAGAAACTAAAAAGATTTGACAACTAAATGGAGCATGTGACCCTAGTATGGATACAGTTGTGAAGGGAAAATAAATGCTTGAGGACAAATAAGAAAACTAGAATATAGACAAAAATTAGATAAAAGTAACTTATCAGTATTAAATTCACTAAAGCTTACTGTGATTCTATAAGAGAATATTTTTATTCTTAGGAAATACACATTGAAGAATCTAGGGGTAAAGTACCATGATACATGCAGCTCACTCTCAAATGGTTTAGAAAATAAAATGTCATATAGGCAGAGGAAAAGAGAAGAAAGAGCATGAGTGCACAAGCATGCCAGCATACATACGCTAAAGCAAATGGGGCAGTGTTAACAGAAGATGGATCTAGACAGAAGGTACACAGATGTTCATGCAAATTTGGAAATTATTTCCAAATAAAATGCTTTAAATAAAAATACAGATCTTCTAAACAAGGTAACATAAATCATGCTTTGCTGCATCCCTTCTGCTTTACACATACAGCAGTGATAGGTAAAATATAAAAAGAGAAAATGAAAAAAGATATAGTCAGGCTAAAAACAGAGAAAAACATATCCATCAACCAGAAAAAGAACAGAAATTCAGAGTGGTGTGCAAAGCCAAAGCCACAGGACTGCTGGGATCTGGAAACAGACACTGGCAGTTGACAGTTCTGCTCCTATGGGGTAACTGGGACTAGAAGTGCTCCACACAAAATGTGAGACAGAAGCCAGACTGGCTAATGGTAGCTAGGACTGATGAAAAACACCTTGACACTCACATGAGTTGCAAACAGTTACATTATCCTCTATTCTGAATGCAACCTTCAAAGAGACAGTGGGTCACTCACCTCTTTATTTGAAAAGCACTTAACTGTTTGACAGTTTTTGGAAGAAGAAAGTTCACTAGCATCTGCCTCCTGGGTCAAGAAAAGGAGCTTCTGGCCCACTGAGTCCAAGCATTCTAAAACACTGTAAAGAAAGAGATCAAGGTAGGAACAACAGTTTTCCCTAACCTAAGAGTTATTTCTCTATACTTGCACTAACATGGTAGCCA